GTGCGTGTGTGTGTGTGTGTGTGTGCCTCCTTAGCCGACACACATCTGTACTGTGTCTCTGGTTTCTCTAAGGCCCCTTCACAGCAGGGGACGGGGTGGCAGGGAGGGGGGAACCCCATCGGACTGGCCAAAAGAAACATTTCACAGGGACAGCCAAAAGGGGGTCACAGGCAGCCCCGCAAGCGACGAAAGTAATTTCTGTCACAGCAGTTCGGAGTACATGCATGTGTACCTGCCGCTAAACGAGGTTAATGATTTACAGACCTGTGGGTAATGACGTATATAAAATAAGATGGAGTGAGACGTGTAAAGGAAAGAAGCATCAGGCCCACAGCTATGCTTCATATGTATAAACACAGCTAAAAGATTTCTGTACTTACTATTGTGAAGCCTTATTTTTGCCAAGTTAAACAACTCAGGCGTAATTTATGGAACTTGAATTCTGCGTTATGAGGAGCCTTAATCCGATGCACATATGAAATCAGGCCGGAGACAATGGCCAGTGGATGGCCGGGGTGCTGTGTGGGGTCAGCTCTGCGACTCCCACCCGGCCCCCTTTCTTCGCTGCTCCGCAGGCCTTTGCCACGGCAACAATGAGGTCCGGATTGACGCAAGGTGTGACCATGCGGTTTGACAAGCGCACCAAGGCACATTATTTCACCGTGGTAATAAGACGTGGGCTGCCGATTGACCCGCCCTACAGAAACGGGCCTGGTAATCTCTGAAAGGGGGGTTTAGGTCTGGCTTGCTGGGGGGGGGGGGTGGTGGTGCAACACGGCGCCCACGTGAGGCTATCAGAAGAAAGTCGTGCATTGTACAGGTGGTACTATTGTATGGGCCGTGATCCACGCACGTTCGGGCTGCCGTCCGGCCCGGCCTGGCCTAGTTTAATCTGCCCAGTCCGCACTGAGCTGAGCCACGGCCGGTGGCTCATGTGTCAGGGCCCATCTCATGCCCTGTCAGGGCGATTTTTCAACACCGGCGCAACTGGAATCCATTTTTAAAGAGGAGAAGCTGGGGTATTCTTTGCGCAGGCTGCGTACCTTTTGTACTGGGTGTCAGCCCCAGTCCACCCTCCATTGTGAGCCCTCATTTGAGGGGTCCCTGGGAATCGCGGGTTAGGGTCCACCGGGAAGCTGGGACAGGTGAGGGCAGCCCCCCCCCCCCGCCACCCCTCCGCGGGACTCAGAGTCGGTCCCGTCGACTTAACAGCATATAAAACAACAGACGTGATCCTCCCACCCAAACAAAGGGGAACCACAACCTTTATTTACCATTGTTGCTGGCTGATCAAGGTATAATTTCGGTGGCCATTCATGCGCGCCGACATGCGACGGCTACGCATTTCCCAGGTCGCCTAATGTGGGAAACTAATGTAGTGCAAGATAGCAGCATGTCTTTGTTAATCGCCGCCTGATTGTTTCAAGAAAATGGCCAGATAATTATGATGGCAGCCGAACGGGGAGCAGACGGGGGTTCACGCCATCGCGCACACGCGGAGGTAAACTGCCGTCATCAATCTGCCTCCCGAACTTTCATAATCTCTTCTTCTTTTCTGGGGAGTTTGGGAGCACACTCAGGGGGCTGGTTTTCATCGACAGAAGCACAGAACGATGCGCAAGGAGCATGAAAAATGAGGACTCGTAAATAGTTACCCTTGGTAGCCATTTTTAGTAGTCAAAAGCCACAGCTTTAACGCCACTGAATAAATAGTAAATAAAATTAGAGAATATTAATAACAGACAAGGTGAACATAAGGACTAGTGATCTAACTCTTAAATATAGAATAACTAGTCAGTGTCTAATTGTTTTAGTAAAAATGCATTGCCCCTATATTATATAAAATCACTCTCCAACTTGTCCTTCATTTGCCCTGAAGGCAGGTTATCTTAATTATGCTAATGAACCCATGCAAACACTGAAGTTGTGCAGACCAGCGTGAAGAAGGGTTTCTCCTAAAATTTAGCCCAGCTAGGGAGAAGATACGTGGTCCCATGGATTGACCCCACTGAGCCCCCAGTGCAGAGCAACACTGAAACATGGGGGTGGTGGTTTGTGTGTCTGTGTGTGTGTGTCTATGGGGGGGGCGG